ACAGATGCAGTTAAGTAGCACATAAGTTATGACTCATGTCGCTATCTGCAACTACCTAATGCAACTAGCTAATGCTCTGGAACTGAAAACCTCCCTCTATTTTCTCTCTTTTTTAATGGTCTTGTTAAATTTTGTTGTTAAAACAACAAAAATAGTGGATTTGAGCAAACCGTTTCTTATTCTGGGTAATATTTCCTCCCCCCATGAGAAGAATCTGATAAATTTCCCAAGAGCAGCAACTCTTTCCCATATATACCGCCCTGAGTCCTTCGGGAGAAGGGCGGTATATAAATCAAATTAATAATAATAATAATAATAATATGGTGAGCAGTGGATCAGACGCCAAAACTGTAGGAAGCTTCAATAGAGTTGGAAGCTGGGCATTTTTTATTTTAGTTCCGTTTTGGGGGGGTGTTGTGGAATTGAACAGCATCTTTGTGTATCCCTTGATGTGCGTTTCCATCGCTTCCATTTTTAAAAAGTGATTGTATGGTAGTGAAATAAAGGCAAAGGAAAAATTGTATTGTCTAGAAATTTAAAAAAAGATTCAGTACTGTACTTTGTTGTTATTGTTGACAGCTGCTTTTATTTATTTTATTAAATTTAGATACTGCCCAGCTCTCCAATAAGGTGACTTTGGGTAGCTTATAACAGGGGTCCCCAACTTGTGGGCCGTGGCTGATTGCAGCCAGACTGTGGAAATGACAAGTGAGCGTGCGCATCCTCATTTGTGTAAGCAGCAGGCGAGCACGTGCGCTCCATTTGCAGCAGGCATACATGCACACCCCTTGCACAAATGGAGCTGCATATGTGCACACGCTTGCAGGGCCCCCCTCCCTCACCCCGCCATCCACAAAGCTGGAAACGTTGGGGAACTCTGTACCAGAACACAAAAAGATAAATGGAAAAGCAATTAAAATGGTAAAATTATGCAGAACCTCCCCCCCCTGAACCAAGAATGGTTCTGTTTTGGAAAAAAAAGCTTGTGGTTCCTGTTGTGTTTACGCAATACTTGCTCAATTGTAATTTGGACCGTTGGATCCTTGAACCTCACTCGCCTTTTTAAAAAGGGCTTCAGGTCAGCAACAGGTAGGGGAGAAAAATGTTACTTTGAACACTCTTCAGTGAAGTAGAAAAGATCTGTGGGATGATGGTGATGTTATTTCAATAGAGTACCAATCGTTTAACAAAGAAAGGCCAAGCTCTATGATGAATGTAGTAAAATGAAAACCAGTGGTTTTTAGCTCCGATTTCTCATGTTGCATGGAAAGTATAGGCGCAAATGTGAACGTTGGTGTTGATAGGATTCACTTATGTGTTCAGGATAAGAGATAAACCGTTGTGTTTGGAAAATCATAGTGGTGTTATCTGTCGTGGGCAATTTGAATGGTCCAAACTACGACTTTCTCTCTATAAACTCTGTAAATGAAAATACAGGAAAAAATAACGGAGACCACCACAACATAGACTTTAACCTGGCTTCATTAATTGCTGAGTTGTACATCTGAGGTTTGTGGGACTGTTAGGTTGTTCTGTTTTGTTTTTAATAGCACAAGACACCTGAAGTCTGGTCATAGCATTACAGTACAAATTAAAAATAAGAATAGTAAATGAACACATCCGCCCCCATACAGCGCGGAGAAATGAGAATCTAAATATTTACAAAGGAGGAGAGGAAGTGGGATGCACAAAAATATTTACATAAAAGAACATGAGCTCGTCGGCATATACATTTTATACCAGTTCTTACGCACAAGAGTAAAAAATAAAAATAATAAAAAATAAGACACTATATAAATTAAAAAGAGAACACTTGGAGAGCTCCCCCATCTTTCCGAGAGGAGTCTCTCAGGTGGCTCAAAAAGACGAGTCAAGTTTCCACAGCAGGAAAATAAAACCACACAACAATCATTTCTTGTTCGTTTTGCAACGGAGCTGTACAATATTAAACTGACTGGAAACACTGAAGTTACTGAGCACATGTTAAAAGTGTACCATGCCCGTTGCCTCAGTTTCCACAGCAGAAAAAATCTGGAGAAAATGTCATGCCGAAGCCGCCACTTTTAAAAATTAAATTCAGAATCCTCTAAAGTCTACAATACCATTCCCAAACGCTGCATTGTCAGGCTAGTGATGCTTTTTTTTAACATCAACCTATCGAATTGAAACGGGGCGCCTTGGAGAACGCATACAAGGGGGGGACCCATCTCTCTTGGGCTGAAGGGGAACATCGCTTCCAGCAAGTTGTGTTGCCTGTGGCGGTTTTGGTCAGAACTGTGCAATTCTCGTGACCCGCCCTCCAAGCGGCAAGCCCCCCCTCCCCAGATTACGTCTGCAAAGACCTAGGCACAATGTTTTTCACTATCGTCTGCATAAACTTTTACCCCTGATTAAAACGTGTTTTAAAGTTAGGAACAAGGATGCAGGACCTACAAAGGCCCGCTAATGCTACCAATAGAGGAAAGGTTTTCCTCTTAAGCACACATACAAACCTTGATTGAGATGGGAGCACATTCTACAGTAAGACTCTGAAGTGTCATCCATAAAAGAAAAGAAATTTAAGGGAACCACCACTGAGGACCACTGAGGAGTGGTTCCCATCCTCATCAGACTCGTGCTTGGGACCCACGGCCAGATGCCACAGCTAATCAGAGCTAAGGTTTGATGGCTGATCCGATGAGCATGTATTTTTAACCACCTCAACCCCAGTGTTTACAGAAAAAGATGAACAACACTTACTCTTCCTACAGTGTAAAAATGGAGTCTAGATTAGGTCTGTTAAAGAAGAGGGAGATGTCTCCTTTAAAGTTCAGTGTTCCAAAACCAACCAGGGTACGTGAACAGGCCTGCATAGTTAATTCTATGGCTTTCATGGGGGGTGGGAAGGAAAGAGGGCTTTAAAAAAAATAGTGATAGAAATATAGGAGGAACAGAGCGATTGTCGCAGCTCTTTCAAGATCGGGAAACTTTGCTGAATTGATGCCATTAAACTCTTGGGTTTCGAGCTGAAACCTGGTACGGCCCTTTCCCAACCGCGCAGAGGCCCCACGCAACAGGTGACAATATTCAGTGAGTGAACACTCAATTCCATGTTGAAATTAGTTTTGGTTAAATGCTTTAAGGGGTGGACAGGCAAGGGGCCCAAGGATGCAGCTCAGGTATTTATGGCAATAATTGAAAACGGTATTTAAAAATTAAGTAGGGTGGGCTCTTCCTCCCCTAAAAAGAGATGAGAGATCATATATTCATCAGCTCAGTACAAAAGTGACAAAAACAAGAGCTACAGAGATTAAAAGAAATCAGGCTGGTTCTGAGCAGCAGATAGCATAAGGCTGATGTAAGGGGAGAATACAAGGAAAATGAAGATACAGGTTTGAACTCCGGGTCTTGCTACCCAAACCTTAATTATCGTAAAGACAATGGTATAACCCTGCCCTAATCCTGGAGGAAAACTGAACAATGGAACTCAATGGCTGGAAGCCACAACGGCCTTGTGCCACTCGGGGGTTACAACTGGGCTTGCTAGGAGCAAGAAAAGACCTTGGCCAAAAAAAACAAAAAAAAACCTGCTTGCTCCAGACATTAAGAGCATTGGAATGTCCCTTCCTCTGTTTCTCACTTACATAGCATAAATAAACAAAAACAAATAGGGTTTGTTTTTTTTAAAAAAGGGGGAATAAAATGGATGTAAGCTTAAATCACAGTGAATTTTCTGACCCCTAAATCTCTACTTAAGACAATCGGAACTTCAAAAGAAATATGCATCAGAAAAACCGAAAGAATGTAATCTGACTGTAGCTAGGGGACAATCTGAATAACTGATATTATGCTGGTTTTGAGAAGCTTCTGATACCCTTATGAGATATCTCAAGGCAAACCTGACGTAGGTAGTATTCTGGGTTCATGCCCATCAACTATGCTGTAACAAGGGCCCAGATACAGAGAAATGACACAGATGCTTCCCACAGGCCTTATTCTAACTTTACATTGTTGTGGTGATCTCCAAGAAGAAAGCTCTTTATTCCTGGGATAGACTCTGGCCACTTCGGAAAACTTTTGTAGCGGAGCATTTACATGTTGTTTGAGCTAGCCTAAGGCAGCATGAAAACCCAAGGCCCTCAGCTCTGGCAAGGACACTGAGATTAAGAGCCGTGCGTATTTATAACTTCTCCAGAAAAGCAATTCAATGCAGTATCCCCTTTCAATAGGCAAAATAAAAAAAATTAGAAGTGGGAGTCAGCTGTGTACTCATAGGGCATGTACTGCACACAGGTCTCCCTAACAGTATGGGAGAGCAAGGGACTTGCTTCCATCATCTGCTACCAGTATCATGCTAGCTGGGACTGGTGGGAGTTTAGAGTTCAAGTGCTAAGCACCCATCTCTATCCTACAAACACTACACAACAGGTGCATGTGTGCTGTGACGTATTACACTGCCCCTTCCATCAAACCAATTGGAATTTTCCTAGATCTGTAGTACCTTCACCGTTTTATAATGATTACCTTATCATGATCAGTTGATAAGCAGCACCAACTGAGCTATCAGAAAGAACACAGAATTGTTGGTTAGGCTCGGCACAAGGCTACTTAATATGAAGTTGAAATAGATTTCCGTTGTTGAAACAACGAAATGCATCACAATTCTCCTCTATCCATGACTGGAGGAAAGGAACACAGCATGGTATTTTTCAATGGCTCTCACTCTGGAGAAAATCCCTGGATATTCTTTTGTTCAAAAGCTTTTGCAAGCTTTTGCTACGGATAAGATGTTCAGGAAGATTATTCCCTTTATGAGATAATACAGGTACCACCTGGAAAAGCAAAGCTCTGTTTATAACATATTAATGGTTCCTTACCCTCAGACCCCTAACTTCTCAAATATACGAAACAGCTTATTACAGATTTCTTCATGGGGAAATAGACCAGGTTACATGCCTTAGACCCCCACCACCTTTTTATAGATACCAGTTGCCCAATTTGTGACTGGCTTGCACCTTGACAAATTATGAAAAGCAAAATGTAGACAAAAAAGATATTAAGAAGAGGTGGTACAATTAAAGGGAGAATTACACACGATGCGAAATCATTATTATTATTTTTTCCTAAAGTTTGAGGCATAAAACCTGAAAGGACCAAGTTAAAATATTTACTAAAGCTTGGCATTCCATAAAACTTCTTCTAAATGATCACATACAAGGGACTTTTGCCTGGAGAAGAAATGTCTATCAATACATACAACATGCGCGTGGCTTGGAAGGACAGTGACCGTGAAGGGAAATGCCATGGTTTGAAATCTACGGAAACTGAGACTCATTCACAGTGCAACTCGTCTCTTCCTTCTTGATTCTGCTCTTCTTGGAGATCGGTTGCGTCTTCAAGTTTGACAAAAGCCTGTATGGTTGCTGCAAGCTACATTTAAACAATGGAATAAAAACTATACATTTAGTGTTAAACAAAAGGAAAAAAAAAACCAGTCCCTATAAGCGGCATGAGGACTAGACAGGGCAAAAACTCAAGAGGGCTAAAATGGAAGGAGTTGCTTTGTGTGTTCGTGTGCATGTTTGTGCATCATTGAAAAAATAAACCAGTCCACTGTCCAGCAGAGGCTGCTTACACTCTATCTCTTCGGCCCCCGAGCTCACTCTGCGTGGACTTCCGTCTCTGGCCTCTGAAGACAAAGCTCTGACGATAGGAACGCTCCTTGGCCCAAAGCTGTGGCGTAAGTCCTACTATGTGGATGAGGAAAAGAAGGTGCAACTCCCCCTCCTCCTCCTCCAGAGTATCCCCCTCTTTGGTGCTGAGGCATAGTATGGTAATCATCCAAATTATCATACTGGGATACCACAGTTGTACTTTGGCGTTTGCCAAGGGTTTGGTATGGGTACAGGAGACCGGCATCCCGCGGTGTGCTCTCAGAGTGCTGGAACCGGAGACTATGGCTCCGTTCCGGCTTAGGTGGTGGTCCCGGAGGATGTCCATAGTGCTCACTCTCTTTATAGCAGTCTCTGGAGTGCTTTTCAGCCGGGAGTCTTGATCGAGCCCGTTCTCCATCCGGCCTATCCTCAGCCAGCTTTACCTCTTTGTGGTTCAGTCTCAATACGTCATGGTTAGCTGGGATGTATTTTCCACCCGAGTGCTGATACGTCAGGGATTCTGTGGGTTCCGATGGGTGGCCCTTTGGTCGGTAATCGGGATAGGAAGGGGCATTTTTAGCCTCCAGCGGCTGCCTGTGGACCGCTTCATGTGCAAGGTGCATTCTGTGCTCCATGGAATTACAACCGACCTCGTGCGGTTTTCTGCTCCTGAGACTGCTTTGTTTCTGAGGGAGCAGAGGTTTCTCTGACTGTCCGTTCCCATAACCCCCGCGGTAATGGGCTCTGTCAATGTCAGGTTCTGGCTGGGGCCCGTAGTAGTGTTCCTCTCCCTCGGGTGCCCCTCCCTTGCCTAGGTATCTCCCTTCTTTCCCATCAGCCACCGTCAGGAGTCCAGTTTTCCCAGGATCAGATTTGCTGCGCAAGTGAACGATGTCTGTGGCCCGCACCTCCTCTTGCAGCAAAGGGGCTACGTTGTCATACTGGGACATGACCGGCCCCTTGACTTTCTGACGAGCACGGCTCTCTCGGCGGATGGACTGCATGCAATATTTCTCCATATCTTCCAAGTCCCAGGAGACATACATGGGTTTGGCATCAGGGGCAGGCGGCACATCCCTGCTGATGAAACTGTGCTCTTTGCCTGCTAGGTGCCCAGGGGGACCTCCCCGGGAGTAGGGTGGTAAACCAGGACAGCGATAGAGGTTCTTGGTTGGTAACTTGGAGTAGGATGCAAAATCTCTGCCTGGGAGAGGATGGAACTGCCTCAGCCTCACTGTACCGTAAGGGTCCAAGTCGTAATATCCACCCTCGCCAGCGGTATAACAAGAAACGCTGGAGGAACTGGAGTAAGGGCTGTATCGGTAATGAACGCGGCCATTTTCAAAATACGGTTGCAACTGAGTGACGTGATAATCGCCATGGGGCTGATATGGCTTGTACTGGAAGAGGGGTCTTGGGCAATAAAGGGGGTCGTCGTCAGGAGGCACCTCGGTGCGGGAGATAGGAACGGATCGGATGGCGGAGGGGGTGGACACGTGCAGGGAATGCACCCTTCGGATGGTAGGGTAGGGTGGAGCTTCCTCCGCACAGCTGCTGCTCCTCATTGTTGGGCTTAGGGAAGACAGATATTCAACCCGGCTGCGTGGCTTGGCGTAATGGACGTATGAGCTCTTTCCTTGACTGGCATGGGCGTTATATCGGGAGCTCAGGGGAGTCTCCGACAGAGAAGGATAGCCTGGATGCTGCTCAGACTTGCTGTGGAAAAGGTGGGGCTGGCTATTTTCAGCCCTGTATTGATGAGCCGAGGAGGGTTTCGGATGCGCTGGAGGCTCTGGCATGCTTTCTGACTTGGAGGGAGGGAAGTAGGCAGACGGAAGGGATGCCTGCTTAGACAGGTTCGGTGGTGCCAACACATCCTCTGCTGACAGGGGCAATGAGGAGGAAGCCATAAAAGCATGGAAATTGGCAGGGTTTATCGTATCATTGCTGTTGGAATGCATGGCGGCTGCCAGTTTACTCTCCATTGTCCTCACAGGTGGTGCTGGAGGCATAAAAGCATAGGACGATTGAGCTGGGGCAGACTCGGACCTCATCTGTAAAGGTGGAGCCCTGATATTTTCTCGGGGTTTCTCCAAATGTCCCTGGTGAAACAGAGCCACTGGGGTGGCCGAAGTGCACTGAATTGTAGCACTGGCCTCAATGCCCGAGACGGGAGCCGGCTCAGCTGTTCTAGGCTCCAGCAATTTGTCTGGAGTTGCCTCTCCTTGCACCTGATAGAAGAAAGCACAAAGATTAGTTATAATCCCAAAAGGGTTGCCGAGATGAATACCGACTTCACTTACAAACCAAAACTAGCTTTTTTTTAACTAGCAACTCAACAGAGCTTTTGCAGCAGGGGAAAAAAAGTACAACTTTTGACGGCAGGTGATTTATTCACAGCCAAGACATCAATCAACTTTTTATTCACATTTCATCCATTTCAACGGGATGAAAGGAAGGATGTAGTCAAGCGATTTCTAAGAATTAATACTTCAAATTTGGGGTGACCTTATAGAAGTATTCCGCTACTACAGGTTGCCCGTATATAATACCTTCTATCCCTGTAGGCCGGAGAATTTAAAAACCTGGATCTTAAGCAATGTTCATGTATCCTTCGCTAACCATATGGTATGTATTAGTTTACTACTGTCGTGTCATTAATGAAAATGGGACCAAATAGCAATGGAATTATTTGGTTCAAAGTAGGTCCCTGTTGAACACAACGATAGCTGCTTATGAACAATCTTACTATAGTTAACTAATGTGTGACACAACAGCACCCCCTACTGCTATACTTAATTTAGTACTACAGGTTGTTATGACCACCCTAAACTTCATCCAATGGAAACCGAAATGTTCTATCTGACCATTCCTAGAACATCTCCGTCAAAGCATCTTGGTAACATCTTGCTATCTTAGGAGAAATGGGCAACCAAAGTCTCAAATGTTCCATTTTCTCCCAGGAACAACTGAAAGACCCTGGAAAAAGCTTGAGCACTTATACTCGCCTTAAGGAGCGTGGGCAGATGAAAAGCAATGAATTAAAATAGGAAAGAGAAGCCAAGTAAAAATCAAGTAAACCGAGGTGGGGAAGGATAGGAGAAGATGCCAGGTCACGTTTGAGGGCAGAATTTTTTCCTGAATTACTATGTACAAAAAAAAAAGAGAGGGCAGAGAGAATGGAGCACGGAGCCCAGTTAACGTTTTACCTGGCTGAAGCCTCCTGAAGGTTTTGTGGGAGGAGTCTGTCCCACGGCCGGCTGGTCCCCTGGTCTTATGGGTAGAACTTGGAGACTTCCTGTAGGAAGAACTGCTTCCCCCCATGTAATGTTGCTGGTGCCTGTGGAAGGCTGAGGTGGGACGTTCTGTCTGGACATGCCAGGATTAGATTTGGCAGTCACCGAGTGGTTCTTCATGACGCAGGCCAGATCTGGAGGGAAATGAAGTCTGTCCTCCATTTTACAGATGGGAAGATGAATCCTGTTGGCCTGGATCTGGTTCTTATCCAAAGGGACACCAGCATGCAGAAGAGGACTTTCTACTGGTATCTCCGCTGTAGATGATTCTGCCTGAACACTTCGTCCAGGACAGGAATGAAGATGACTCTGATCTTCTGAGACAAAAGATTCAGTAAGAAGGTGCGTGTCTCCCACTGTACATGGATAGAAGTGGGAGTGGTCCCAGCCCATGTTAGTACCCAGTCCATGAAGGTCTCCTGCCATGTTATTAGAGAAAGTGGAGTGGTCCCGATGTTCAGATGTGCCAACGTGGAGATGGTCGTCGCCTTCAGACGTGCCACCGCTTTGGGGGCCCTGAACTAAAGGCAATCCGCTTCTTTGAGGATCCCCAACCATCTGAAAATTGAGCGGGTTCTCTGGCAGAGAAGCATAGAACTGGAGCCTTTCCACAGCACAGCCAGGATATGGATGGAACTTTTCTAGAGTTCCCGCACTCTCACTTTTCCCACAGTTGCTACAGTCTGAATAAATATCTGGCTTCTTCTGGGATTGAACTGAAGCTTGTTGGGCAGATTCGGCCAGAGCAAGAGCCAGGATTCGTGCAGCATTTTTTGGAGGTGGAGGAGGGACAACAGAAACAGAATTGACTGGAACAGAATCCTGGGGGGTGTCAAGGGCAACGGCTCCTAGTGGGAAGAAGAGTAGAAACAAAACAAAACAAAACAAAAGAGAATGGTTTACTTTATCCTGCTAAGGAGAGTGAGCAATTCGTATAGATCATTATAAAAAAAAATAAGTTTTTTAAAAAAAGTCCAACATTTCACCAGTGGCCACTCCTCGGCGCGACAAAGTGCGTCTTCTGTCATGCATGCAAAACAGGATAGCAGTTCGGTGTGGAAAAAGCGCAAAAGATTGTCTAAATGTTCCTGTTGCAGTCCTAACGACTAGGGCAGTAGACAGTGCAGAAAGAAAGAAAATGCCAGATCGCTTGATGGGATCTTTCGCACAACTTAATCACAGGTTACTCTGGGCCCGTGGGTCCCTCCTTCGAATGCAGCCAAATTTATTTATTTATATGGTTAGTTACAAAAATATAAAGTTTTATCAGGAAGCGTTCTGATGGGAAGACATCGTCTCATGTTACGAAAAAAGTGAAGAGAGACAGGGCTATATAAAATATTCACAGGGTTGTGGGGTGTTTGTTTTGTGTGATACAAGGAGGTGCAGAGAAGCTTAAGGTTCTTTTAACGTTCGCTATCAAGACCCAAGCAGCATTTATAGGCTCTGGAAGACACATACTTTGTTATTGTTATTATTACTACTATTATCATTATTACCAATGTTTCCCCCACTTTTTAAAGGCGTGCAGAGAAGCAAGAGCTTGGCGGCTTGTGAACTTAAAGAAAAAATGGAGGAAAACACACTGTACCTGGCTGTGTCAGTCCAGAAGGTACAGGTTTACTCTGGCCACTGCTGAGAGCAAGTTGTTCCACCTCTTCTTGAAGCTCTGCTTTCTTGGTATCTCCTGCGTTCTGGAGTTCTTGCTGGGGTTCTTCACCGTACCTGCTTGCACTGCTTTTCAAAGGTGACGCCATGAGCTGGGCAAGGGACACGCTTGAAGCTTCGTTGTGGTCAGTGTTTTTTTTAGTCCAATCCAAAGGGCTGCCGCTTTCCGGCACCCCTCCAGTAACCACGTCAGGCATTCGGCTGGGGAGAGCATAAGGAACGGGTTCGGAGGCAGGGAGCGGTGGCGATCTGACTGGCTTTTGAGCCAACTTGGGGGAGTAGGCACAGGTGAGCTTCTCGGAGAAAGGCTGGAGCTTTGAAGGCTTGTCTTCAGCTGGGCTCAAATCCAGAGTGAAGAAGGGACTCGGGTTTTTTTCCTGATAAGGAGAAACTGGCTCCGAGCTGGTGGCGCTGTAGGGCGTATGAGATTGGCTGCCCGAGTCTAGCTCTTTCTTAAAGACGCTTGGCTTGTCCTTGTTATAGTCCATTGACTCCAACAGGGAGGTGCTGCTGTCGAGACACTCGGATTCTGCTTTGGGCGGGCTGCACTGAAAAGACATGGGGTCGAAATCCAAACTAGCCACCCCGATCTCCGGAGGGCTCAGATCAACGTCCTCCGCCGACCTGGGGGAGATGAGGGCGGGAACCTGCAGGTGTCCCTCATCTCCGTCGCTCTCTTGGTCGTGGGGCAGATTGTCGTAAGAATTGCAACGATTCATGTTCCCCAACAATTCCCCGTTGAAAGAAGCGGATAAAGCGTCGCTGCTCGACCTTGGTCTTCGGGGTCGAAAGAGTTTAGACTCACCTGGAAAAACAAAAAAAAGAGAGAGAGTCGTGAGTACTTTGCCCAGTTATGGAAATGCTCCGGTTATGTGAAATGGTCGGTTGCTCTTTGCTTTTCTGTGAAAAATATAGAGATATATTCTCTTGCAAGTCTTTGTAGTTAGAATACACAATGTGCTTAAAACTCTGGTCCCACCCGTTTATGCACCTACCCGCATCTATATTAGCGTCCCCCACAGTTTTTCCTGCTAGGACTGGGGAAACAAGAAAGAAACTTTCAAGGTTTCTGTGCGTATTATTTAAGGGAAAGATTCTTTTTCTCCCCAAAATTGCACCCAAAAAAAAGGTGGTGGTAAAAAGTGACATATTAAGGCGTAAAAAAGCACACGTTTCTTCACCTAATACAGACACAAACATGCCTCCTGAGACCTTTGCCTCCTAATTTTTTATAGATGTGATATTTACTGAAGTAAGCATTTTGCTGTCCGTAGAAGCAGCTCTTAGGAAAATATAAACAAAAGCCAACTTGCCATCGATACCATGCAAAGATGAAAGAGACTCTTCACTCTTGGTGGAGCGTAGGGTTCCACTCTCTCCTCTTCCTCCTGGTCAGCCAGAAACAAAACGATGGAATATATTTAAAATATGACTACACAACCCCAGAGACAAAAATGTATTTGTCTAAAACAGTGCTTCTCAACCTTGTGCAACCTGAAGATGAGTGGTTTTCAACTCCCAGAATTCCCCAGGCAGCTAGGGTATGCCATGCTGGCTGGGGAATTCTGGGAGTTGAAGCCCACTCATCTTCAAGTTGCACAAGGTTGAGAAGCACTGGTCTAAAAGAAGATGTCAGATTCTTTGCAGAGCTGAATCTTTAGTCTTTAAAACAATTACTATATGACTCAAGTGAAGCAGAGACTGGTCAAAGGCTTTGCAAGAGCACGGTGGACTGACCATGAACATAACTAAGAGGATCAAAGGCCTGGAGACCCGAACATACAAAGAACGGCTGCGGAACTTGGGTTTGGCTAGTCTAAAGAAAAGAAGAAATAGGGGAGACAGGATAGCAGTGTTCCAGTATTTGAGGGGCTGCCACAAAGAGGAGGGAGTCAACTTATTTTCCAAAGCACCAGAGGGCAGGACAAGAATCAATGGTTGGAAACTGACCAAAGAGAGAAGCAACCTGGAATTAAGGAGAAACTTCCTGACAGTGAGGACGATTAACCAGTGGAACAGCTTACCCCCAGAAATCGTGGGAGCTCCATCACTGGAGATTTTTAAGAAGAGACTGGACAATCATCTGTATGAGATGGTATAGGTTGTCCTTCTTGAGCAGGGGGCTGGACTAGAAGTCCTCCAAGGTCCCTTCCAGCTCTATTCTATTATTAATAACAAAGTATGTTTTCAGGCTGCAACGAGGGGAATTCAGCTCCACAAGAGTGCTCCTGAGCCTACGAAGGCTGTTTTAGCAATACATGCTAAGAAATTAGAGCAATGTCCCCATCGATAAATGCCTCTGTGGAACAGAAATAATTTAGGCATTTCTGAATTACATTCCGAGCAGAGCATGTGGTGATTTATTTTAAAATAATCAATACTAAAAAAAGCAGCCCATCTGGGGTAAACCAGAAGTATCCATGCACCCTTACCTGCTAGAGCTATTGCCTTCATTTCTGATGGCTCACTTGGGTTGCGCTGCAGTTTCCGTTTGGAAAGAGAGGATGATTTTCCCAGGTTGAAGAAGGAACGCCAGCTGCCCACGGGAGATTTTTTCATCTTACTGGGAGGTCTCTTTCTACAGCGAGAAAAACGGGACACTGAGAAAATGACGGAAGGCTCCACGGTGGCCCCCGAAAAGAACATTAGCAATTTAGACATGAAGAAGTTACAAATCCACACCCTTTATGCAAGCCAGCAGCATTTACAGACGTACCCTGAGAAAGGATGACGAATGTATGTTTCAATTTCAAAACTGTCCCAACATAACCCTGGAAAAACTAAGTGTAGGACAATGCAATTACACACAGACAGACAGACTGACAGACAGAAAAATCCTTCTACCTTTCAGATGGAAAGTCTATGATGGTATGGAACTTTCCCTGCAAAGCAGCGGGTCCCTCGCCTACTTCGATGTATTTGCTATCTGCCGGGGCTGGAGAATTTATCTGAGCCTGAGTCCTTGCCTGGGCTTCCTCTAAAGTAAGCAGCTTTGTGGAGGGAGAGGACACCAGCAAAGATTTAGGTCGTGACAAGGAACTGTGACCTGCCACAGAAACACAAGGCAAAGCAGAGAGAGAACGATGTGAGTTACGAGAACCTGTGAAGAAAGAGTTTCCTGAAATAGAGCCAAACATTTCCTTTATCGCAAGACTTAAGCAGGGAGTCTTCAAAACACATTTATGCTTTTTCCAAGAAAGTCTGGAAGGGAAAAAATAAATTTTGGGTTTAACATAATGGACACTCCATCAAATTATTTTTCCTTCCCTTCAGTACACAATAGGACTTGGGACTCAATTTGGGGTCACCGTTTTCTTTTTTTACTTCTATAATTTTACCGCTATAAAGACTTGAAAAGGAGTCTCTTTTCCCACATAATGGCCTTAACAAGCTCTTTCATTAATATAAAATGTTTTGCAAAGTGCAATTTCCCCCCCCAAAAAATAAAGAAGTCGGTGAGTTTTACTCCCAATTTAAATTCAAGAAAATACTGCTTTAAGACTGTGTATAGCTTTTAACACTTAAACATTACTGACTTGCTTCTAGCAGAGATACTGCTAGACCCAGTGAATTCAGAAACCATCTCTTTAAAAAAAAAAAAAAACCTCACAGGAGAAATTCCACCGCATTTAGCACTTTTTCACATTTTGAAAACAGTAATCAACAAGTCAAGAGGTAGCATCAAACAAGCAGACACTACCCTGTAACGGAAACTATGCTGAAAAAGTTGGGAATATACATCATGCCAATCCACAAAACATCTGTTTTGTGTTTTGCCTTAGTACAGAGGTCTTCAAACTTGGCCCTTTTATGACTTGTGGACTTCAACTACCAGAATTCCTCAGCCAGCGTGCCTCACTGAGGAATTCTGGGAGTTGAAGTTCACAAGTCATAAACGGGCCAAGTTTGAAGACCCCTGCCTTAGTATGTTGTGTGAATTCAACCACTATGACTTTTAAGCCATCGTTAATGGCTTAATAGGTTGTGAAACCCACCCAATCATATGTCTTTAGGGTTTGTTTGTTTTTTTTAAAAAGTAATAGTTTTTTTTAAAAAAGAATAATATGTAAATTCAGTATTTGTCTGCTCCGTACGGAAGGCAGGCATGGTTTAGCACCAACCGAAGTCCTAAAGTTTATTGCCCACTGATGTTCTAAACAATTTGCTGAATTTCCTATAAACGTAACTTTGCCAGAATGGTAACCATGGGGACAGTCAGGGGAAAATGTTTGCCAAACTCTGAGACTACTGGTGTCACTCAAGCTAAAATGGGATCCCCCAACTTGGGGGGGGGGAGAAACATATTTTACAATTGTGATGGTGGAACAAAGGCTTGGTACATGCTTTTAGAATGGACGCTCTGCAGTTAGAGCAGGGAGTCTCCAAATTTGGCAACTTTAATACTTATGGACTTCAACTCCCAGAATTCCTGGCTGGCTGAGGAATTCTGGGAGTTGACGTCCGTAAGTCTTAAAGTTGACAAGTTTGAAGTCCACTGAGTTAGAGAGCTCTGCATGGTATGCAATTGTTGACAAAGGAACCATTTTCCATGACGAACGTCTGTTGGACACTCGCTAAGCTTCATTAGCCTCCAATGTATGTGAGGTAGTTGTCTATTAAGCTGCATTTCTCTATTTGGCCAGCCAAGCAGAAAAATGAAAACTTTGACACACTGCTCTGCCTACCCTTTTAAGGTTTGTTTTGGTTTATTTCTGACTCAAACACACATACCTGCACTCTCTCGAATAACAGAGCTGAGCTTAGAGCTGAAAAGGACGTCCACGTGATTGAGAATGAATTCCACAACCACGGATTGGATTCGCACTTCCATAAAAGCTGCTGTTCCACTGAAGCAAGCAGATTCTATCTGTTTTGATCTAGGAAAAAGAGGGGGGAACATTAGCCATCCCTTCAGCCACCACTGGCAGTTTCTTTTGCAAAGGAACAAATATTTGCATAGGAGTCGTAGTGTGAAGTCTACACAAACAATGCTGCAGAGACATAAATTGATAGCTTGTGTATTCTTTCTCCCGTAGTATAATACAGAGCAGTTACTACATATGGACTTTGCATCTGTGAATAGGAAGAATCCTTCATCTTTTTCTTGCAAAAGAGGGGTTCATAATTTCTCTGTCAGAATGTATTACCTGTGGCCATCTTTCCTAACAGGGATAAAGCTTAGTCTACCACTAAGCCAGTGGTTCTCAACCTTTTTAATGCCGCGACCCCAACCGGTCGTAAGTCGAGGACTAAACTGGTCATAAGTCGAGGACTAAACCGGTCGTAAGTCGAGGACTAAACCAGTCGTAAGTTGAGGACTACCCAACCGGTCGTAAGTCGAGGACTTTCCCTGCCCGGGAGCGCCGCGCATGCGTGGTTCCACCCCCTGCACCGGCAGAGGCGTAGCTGGCAAGCGGCAGAGACGGAGCAGGCCGACCACCAGCTGGCCCAGCCCAAGGGAGGTAAGGCACCCGCCGGAAAAGGGGGGAAAAAATGGCGGACAAAAAAAAATGGCGGACAGCCTTGCTTGGCGACCCCCATGAAATGGTCGATTGACCCCAAATGGGGTCCCGACCCACAGGTTGAGAACCACTGCACTAAGCTAATTCCTGATAAAGCCACAGGTGTAACATCTGACATGAGCCAAGCGTCTTTCTAGTAAAAACAAGTAAAGCTTAACTTTCTGGCTCTCAGTAAGTATCCAACCTGTCCTGCTGTTTCTTTACAAATCAATCTTTACCTAGCTGGTGCCAATTTCTCCAATGAATATTTTCCACTTTTTCCTTAAAAAAAAAAAAACTCTTGACAAAAAGTTAAAATATTATAAAGCCACTCTCACGCTACATAAAAACACTTTTGTTTTCCAACAGCTTTTTAAACATAAAAAGTGCTGGTGGAACTTTTCTAACAAATGTTATTAAAAGGTGTAAGCTATCATGAGCTACAGCTCACTTCAACAGATGTAATTTAATTTCCATATGCTACGAGATTCAGAGACACACTGAACAAATAGGGCTATCCGGTGGCTTCTGTCTTTTGTGATTGTGGTGACTTGCAGACAACACAAAAATACCTGCCCTTTGTGTCCTCATCAGTATGCACTTAAGGACCTCATGGCAGTGCGACAGAACACAATTAATGTTGCTAGTTTTGGGGCAAGATCTGTTTAACTCGTACATATTTTGATCTTATATTTTAAATTCCATGTCACTTAGCATGCCTTATTTTAATTGTGCTGCTTCTGACATGAATGAACAAACAAACAAATCTCTCTATTGTTGGTTATCATAGACTAACATGGCTTTTTTCCTACAATGTCTGCAATCGATAGATACCTTAGTAGGTTTGGTGCCCAGACAATGGCTAAGTTCTTTGTATGCATGTTGGTGATGGCACAATATTCAGCCAGGTGTGACAAATGCCTCATAAGGAATTCCAGAGTCCTGGGAAAAAAAGGCAAGAATTTCAGATAAATTAGCCTATGATGCCACCGTTTCAAAAAAAAACAAAAAAACAACCAAGCTAAAGGGGGATTGAGAAAAATACCCTAAACAGACTAATATTTCGCTTTTTGAAAAATGGCCAACTCTTTGCTTCCTTGTTGCATTGCAAAAGCCAAGGAAGACAAATATATGCCACATGGATCAATATACTGCAAGATGTCTCCAGCAGTTAAGGTTTATATAGACATTGTGAGATTCCATTACTGTTTTCTAAATGGCAACTGCCATCTTTGATGACCATTAGAGGGAGCCTCTAGAACAGTGTTTCTCAACCTTGACAATTTTAAGGCATGTGGACTTCAACTCCCAGAATTCCATAGCCAGCATTGCTGGCTGTGGAATTCTGGGAGTTGAAGTCCACATGCCTTAAAATTGTCAAGGTTGAGAAACACTGCTCTAGAACATTATCTAGCTAAAGAGTGTGTACCGTATATACTCGAGTATAAGTCGACCCGAGTATAAGCCGAGGGACCGATTTTCCCACAGAAAACTGGGAAAAATTGGTGACCCGCGCATAAGCCGAGGGGGCATTTTGGCTGTTCCTCCCTGGCCGCCTCGGCCCCCCCGGCCCTGTCAGTGAGCGCCCGGCAGGGCGCAGCGTCGCCAGGCCTCCCCCCTTCGCGCGAGGCTTCTGGCATTCCCTCTCGCGCTTGGCTACGGCTCGCCGCTTGCTCCCCCTCCCCTGGCGCTGCGCTGCGCCTGCTTGCCTGGCGGCGGCGTCCGCACCAACAATGAGCTGGGCAAGCAGGCGGAGCGCAGCGCCGGGGGGGGAAGCGAGCGGCGAGCCGCCGCCGCCACGCTCATTGCCGCTGCCGCCCGGTTCGTTCCCTCGGCTT